ATCTCGCTCTATTCCATTGCGATTGTGTATTTCCATATCGTTTTTCCTTCACTTTCACCTCAGACCGAAACGCAACTTGGAGAAAAAAAATAATGCTGCGCTGCCATCTCGCGTGTGAAAACAAGACAAAAGAGGACATAATAAATACAATTTTCTATTTAGGTAAAGGAATTGTGGTACCTGTCATTTTTTTGCTAAATTTTACCCCATCTATGAAGCATATTGCCGAACTTAGCCCATGTATTTTCGTTATTAAGGATAGTTTCTCGATAGCAAGTCACCGGAGGCGACTCGCTATTGAGGAACCGCCCCTTAATCATAGATGTCGATACAAAATTGACTACGTATCGATACTTTTCGTAATATCGCCCAACAAAACCGGCGACTGACGCCAGGCGGTCGCGTTCTCGTCTATTCATTCGCACAAAGAGATTCAAGGATATCAAGGTGCCGGTGCCCGCGCACTTAGCCTGAAACGTCGCGAAAGGAACCAGCGCGAAAAAAATTGTGAATTTACAAAATTTACATAAAGTTATATGACAGTCCGCGCCGCTAAGCCAAGAGGCGCGTCGGTCGACACGCGAATTCTTTTCGGACCAACTAGGAGTCATTTCTCTATACTGAAATAAATTAAATGCACGCTGCGCCATTAATTTCATTCCGTTAGAGACGTGACGCGAAACTTTGCTCCAGTGTGCGGACATCAGCTTAATGAAATCTCGCAACGCTTCCCTTCGGGCCTCTTCGGCTAAGTGCGCGGGCACCTTTAGAGCGAGCTTGCGCGCGCAGCATTCACGTTTTTCGCAAAATCGGGACTTATAAGTTTTCCTACTCTGGAACCGTTGCAACAAAAAACTGTGGTGGATGTCATTCGATTCCAGGCATGACATTGACAACTTCGCTTATAAATTGTTTCTATGTTGCTGCCTCTTTTAAAATAACTGTTAGTGCTACGTGCTACTGAAAATCGCCAGTTTAGAATGTGAAGTAAGTCCAGACGAAATTCTGTCTAAATTAACCCTCGACGGGGATTTAACCCAGAATATGTAGACTTATTGTGACCAATTTTTTATGATTCATTTGTATGTTGTAATTTTGTTGATTTTTTTGCTGTCCACATATACATTTTACACGCCTTTTGATCCAAGTGTGTGCAAACTAGATTTAAGGCTTTTCATTAATAATATTAATTTTTTTAAAATCTATTATGTATCTATTGCTATTTATTGTATCCCGTTGCATCCTGGAGTACCTTGCTGGTCCAGGCAGTGCTAGAGGGGAACATCGGGACCCATGCCTGCTGTTTGGTAAATTGGGTATTAGTATGGCATTCTTCTGTCTACTCGGTGCTCCCACATCAGATAGGTAGTTTATGAAAATCAATCAGCCTTAAATCAAAAAAAAAAAAGTGGAGTATTTATTGCCAATTTGTTGCTAATTAAGGCCGGTGTAGCCAGCTAATACTGTATAATGCCCAATTCTTAATGCTTAATTTTAAAACTTAAGTTTTGTGTGTAGCCTTTTAGTCAACTTTTATTCCGTAATTCGTAATTTAGTGTATAATTCACAATTGAAAAAGTTGACCAACTTTTAAATTTATAAGAATTAAGCACTATCACAGTACAATTTGGCCTGTGCGCATACGTCTGACACAAGTGGCAAAATTTGCGAGTTTAATTATTGCTTCCAGGCCTTGTTGTTTACCTTCACCGTAGATGAATAAGTAAAACAATATTTATTTTGAATTGAAATTGATATTCCGATATTGATAATAGGTATAATAACAAACGGCGAAAAAAGCCAGCTGTCACTTTCTTTATGCATAAATAGTTACGCGGTGTATAAACACTCGTTTCTGTTGTGCATTGGCTATTATGAATTGTGAATTAAGAATTAAGAATTGTGCATTATACGCTATTAGCTGGCTAAATCGGCCTTTAGGTACGATATTTTTAATTTTTTTGCTTTTGGAAATGTCGAGAAAGTATCAACGGTACCCCAAAGGAGCAGGAAAATCGTTTAAATATTTTTGAGAGCGAAAAATTTCTAGTGGGGTATTTGCAAGGATGATACATACTACTACTTCAGGATAGCCTATCCTCATAAGACCTGTGTGGAACAAAACCCTGTATGTATTCACTGGACTAATAGTATTTTACATTATCAACCAAGTCAAAACTGTTGCCTGGCATATAATGTAAATGTACAATAATTTATTTATTACTCATTTGTAGGTGGCTTCTAACAGCCATTTAATTAAATTTAGTATTTAATACAATTTAATTTGAAAATTTTATCACACAATACCAAATGGCGGGCTTTTTAAATTAAATTATAATAAATCCTAAATTTAATTAAATGGCTCAGAACCCACCCTAAAAGATAAAGGGTCCTTGATTTTTTCTCACAAGCCTTGGTAGCTGGTATAACTATGAGAACGAGAAGTTTTTAAAGTCGTTGTTTCTAGTTAGGTTTTCGGACAGATATGCATTTTCAGGGTGAGTCATGACTTTTATTAAAAAAGTCAAAAAGCCAGTTTTCTTTTTAAATTTAAATCATGATTGTTTTGATTTAAATCAATTTGAATTATTCAAGATCAAATATTTTGAAAAATGAAGAAGAAGAAGTCTATTTCTTTATGCGAAGAGGGAATTTCGGTCGTGGCGCATTCTAAGACTAGGATTCAGCACTAAACAACACTTTTACTGTAAAAGTACTGACCATCTAATAGGCCGGCCAAAAATCAGTTGTTAGTTATGAAAACTCAAAATAGGGAAAACAAGTTTTCTCCTATACACTGAGTGTGAAAATGTTGGGTTAATTTTCTTCACTTTTCCATGCACAGACGCGTTTCAATCTATCAGATTTCATCAGTGTGGCTAGGAGAGCTCTTCGTACTACTTCTACTTTGCCTACAGGCACTAAACTTGGGTTGGGTTTCTTTGCTTTCCTAGACACACTGATGAGATCTGATAGATCGAAACGCGACTGTGGATGGAAAAGGGAAGAAAATTAACCCAAAATTTTCTATTTCTTATATTGCTTCATCAAAAATGTTGATTTTGCATCCTTGTCAACCCCGTACCGATTTCTCACATCGCTGTGTACCATATAATAGGTTGAAAAAACGCGTTCCACGTTTGCTGATGATGCAATTGCTGTCATGTGGATAATATGTTCCTTTACAACCAGTATAACTAGTACATTGACATTAAAATGGTACATATCCACCACTGAAAGTAATTGATTCCAAATTCCATCAATTGCAGCTTTCCTCATCAATGGCCTCACAAACAGGTGACTTGGACTGATGAATCTCGGTACAAACTGGAGAAAGCAAAAGTCCCAGCCAAAAATTTTCCTCTGCACATTTCAATGCTCTTTGTCTTTTTTCCAGAGTCAAAACTATATTTTCATCAATTTTATTTTCACTCAGTTATGGTGCTGATAGACTGTTTTGGTTTGTTATACATGAAGCTTGTGATTTAGATCACAATTTATGTGAGTGATTTAAATCAATGATTCGAATCCGCTTGATTTAAATCGAATTCACCCAGTGCATTTTGCAATTTTTTCCCAGAAATGAATGCGCTAGAAGATATTATTAATGAAGCCGCAGTCGTAGTTAACAGTTTATCACCAGAAAAGTCTTCCAGAAGGTATCTACCTATAAGCAATAATTATTATTCATGTGATAAAAGCAATAACATTGGATAAAAACGATTTTTTAAAAATATCTCAATGCATTTGTCAAAATTTATTCTGACTGGTATCAAACTAGATAAGATAAAAGGGTCCTTTTTTTATAAAGAAATGCTTCTCATTCCGTCACAATAGAGATACGTATGGGAACATTAACATAGGCAGAAAGAGAATTTTATCAGCATTCCAATGTGATGATAATAAACTTTGAATCCCATTTGAAATAAGAAAGTTTTTGATACTTCTATGAATCATTCATTAATCATTAGATTTACGACGCCCTGTATATTATTGCAAACATTTAGAAACAGATTGTAGTTCCTCTGGGTTTTGATTAACTATTCAGCAAATTTTAATTTCTTATTATTTTGAACAAGCGAAAAATCCCTTCTTTTTCCAAGTAATTTTTTTGCCTAAAATTTGGGAAATTAATTTTTTTCTCGATAACGGCGACAAATAGGTATAAAAAGTCTCAACGGCCGTATTCACCAACGACATTTAAACTCTTATTGGTCTGTTAAATGTGCTGTCAGACTGATTAACAAGTTTTTGGTATTCATTCACCAGTGACAATATTTTATTGACAAATTATTTCTTTTCATTGAGTTAATTGTTTGTTACTGGCAAAATCACTTCAGACGTCCTCTAAAATCAGTTTCAGTTATATTCTTTTGCCACCAAATAAATGTTAGTTATTCAAAACTTTCCATTTCATTCTTTGAACAACAAATGGCAACAAATTTTCAGACATTATTTGATCAAATTCAAAAATATTTTAACGGCTTTCATACTAGCTTGATATCGAGTTCGCCCATTCGTCATTTTCTCGAAATCGGAAAAATCGAAAAAAAAATTAAAAATACAGTAACTAATCAGGAATCCATTGGAATTTCTTTGTTGGCAGCGCTTTATTATTAAAAATCTCATAACTACTGCAACCGTCATTGCCACACCTGAAAAAAATGAGCAAAACAAAATCAGAGCTATGCCGCTTCTGTGAAGAAGACTCATCCATCTAGAGCAGGCCATATTTAAGGGCTGCGGATGTGAGGAATGCCAATCCCAGGAGCATTATCGGCTTTGTCAAACGCCTTAATCTGGGAACCTACTAGATATACCTAAGGGGAAGCTCAATAGATCTAAGCAGGTCGCAGTGCGGATAGATCCATAACCTAAACACCCTAGCATAACAATCTACAACCGTCATTGCCATCAAAGTGGTGAAAGAACTGACATACTGAAAAATAATATACAGTTATAATAGGATTTTTTTTTTGAATGTGTTATTTTTTTTACAGAAAGTTGGAGGAACCCAAAAGTATATGTTACGTACCAAAACCGTGGAAAATACTGAAGTTGGCGCTGTCAGAACAGTTCCTGTTGTAATTATGCCGGTTACTCCTGTATCATCTGTAGTGGGTTCTGTCCAGGTAAGAAAGACAGATTCTACTCTTTTTTTTTATCCATGATCAATTAATCAATACATTAAACAGATTGAGTATATTTAAGTGCTTCTTTGTCTAATTCCTGCATCAACCAACATATTTTTTTTCCAGCTTGTCAAGATTGGCAATAACCTAATATCCTTAGTATCGCCTCAGTCTGCTCCAGCTTCACCAGCCAGACGACAAATTATAATACCTGTCCAAAATCAAAATTCCTGTTTGAAGATGTACAAGACTCATCCAAAACCAGTAGGCCACCCAAATTTCGGTACCAGAAAATTAGGGGGTGCTTTATTATTAGCCAATCCACTTGCAGATGATCAAAGGAACGACTTGGTATCAACTATAGACTTTCAACTAGATACTGTTAATACTGAAAGAGGATTATCAGGACTAAATCATACCAACAGCCCAAATCGAAAAGGCGGAATGAAACGACCTGCTACCGACATACTTGCTACTAGCGACAGCAAAAGACATACGGATATAAATGGATTTATGCTGCATGCTGACATAAGCGAATCAGCTGAAGCGCCCCAACTTCAAGGAGAAACAACTGTCAAAACCCAACACGAATTGATTATTAGTCTAATTGACAAACATAAATTTTAGTTATTATCATTTTTTTCTGAATCCACCCTTTCTCGGCCAATTGACATGGAGTGTAAATTAGTTTGGAAGTTAATGTAGCAACCAACAATCCAGGGTAATGTTCCAATTTATTAAATTCGAATTTTTAACAAAATTGTTGATATCATAAGATATAAAAGCATACTTAAGCTGCTCTGAAATACAGGGTGTCCCAGCTGAGAGTGACCCCTTTTAAATGCTTATAACTGTTAAACCAGGTGTGCTAGCTACCTGCGGTTTGCGCCATTCGACTTCTCTTGGCCTAAAGTTTTTTTCAGTTGGTTGCAAATTTTTTTGATATTTATTAAGAGCCAGTGAAAAAAAATCCGTTTTTCAACATCGAAATTCTCCTGTATTTTTAATGGAACACCCTGTATATCACAACGTCAAAAAAAAAGAGTAATGTTCAAGGTATCCATGTACTAATAAACATCATCCTTGAAACTTAAAGTTTTAGCCGTAAAAAATGTTCGAAAATGTCTTTTATCCACAATTAAGACGGGAGGGTAGGTTGATCTTGGACGATATCTATTTCCAGCAGGATGGTGTCCCAGCTAATTATTCTTTAATAGCAACGGAATCATAAGGTATGATATTTGGGAAAAGATGGATAGGAAGAGCTGGTCCTAAAGAATGGACGCCGCTTTACTCTTCTGACTTGAAAGTTCCAGACTTTTTTCTCTGGAATTATATCAAGGAGAAATCCTGTAAGTGAAATTTGTGTGGATATATTATCTCGAGCTCTAAGAATGTTTTACCTTTTTCGAGTTATTTTTTCCCAGTCCATTGATTTCATTAAAATGGTCATCCAATTCATTTATTTGTATCATGACTTTCTCTAAATATGCCTCCAGATCGGATCTTTGTTCGTAACACGTGGCGCATTACTAGGACTCTGAAATAAAAAGAATTAGGCAGCTAAGTACCAGATATTTATGTTCTCCATGACCAGCCATCGGGTACTCTTCTTCTTCTTCTTCTTTCAATGCGTATCCACTAATGGATATTTGCGATAACATAACACTCCTTGCGGTGTGTATTAACAACTGCACATCATGTAACCCTGTCCACTGTCTGATATTTCGCAGCCAAGACATTTTTTTTCTTCCGATACCTCTCCGGCCTTCGATCTTGCCTTCGATCAACAGGTGCAAGAATTGGTATTTCGTGTTTCGCATTATATGTCCCAGATATGCCGTTTTTCTTTTTTTGGCCAATTCAAACAGTTCACGTTGTTTGTTGACACGTCTTAGGACTTCTTCGTTTGTTAGTCAAGCCGTCCAAGGTATCTTAAAGATTCTACGATACAGCCACATTTCGAAAGCCTCTAATTTATTAATTGCAGAATATTCTTTAAGCACATTCGTTTAAATTGATCCATTTTCTTGGTGACTAGGAGCTTGGCTTTGTCACTGGCAACCTGCAGTTTTCCTCTAGTTTCTTCGGATAAATTTGGAGTTTTTGGAAAAGTATCCGCGCTTTTTTCATCGACATTAGTCAGTCGCATTTTTCCTGTGCAAGTTTTAGCAAGTGGTGTCTATCATTTCCGACTGTAAAATAGGTAGCGTTACTTATATAATTACCATTTTAAAAATTTGGGGTTCATACACATGAGAGACATACAAAATTATGTAAATTTCGTAATAACATATAAGTACAGCATTTTTTATAGTTTTATGCGGTTTTTATAAAGTTTTTAGTGCGCAAACATAATTTCCAAGCTTTGTTGATATGCTAATAAAAATACCAGAATTTCGATTTTGATTTTTTATGGCTAAAACTTCAAGTTTAACAGACAATGTTTATTGGTACATGGATACCTTGAACATAAATCTTTTTTTTGACGTTGTGATATACCGGGTATTCCATTGAAAATAGTGGTTAATTTCAATGTCGAAATACGGATTTTTTTTTACTCGCCCTGTATAAGTAGCAGAAAAATTTGCAACCTACTAAAAAATACTTTAGGTCAAGAAAAATCTATGGTGCAAACCGCAGGTAGCTAGCACACCTGATTTAAAAGTTATAAGTATTTAAAATGAGTCACTTTCGACTGGGACACCCTGTATATTGTTACAATAATAATGATAATATATAAGTGTAGTGCTTTCACATCAAAGTAGCATGTGGCGTGCCACTACTAAGAAACAGCAGAATATAAAACAAGTCCTACAATTTGCTAGTTTGTGAGAAGTGTCCAAGCCGCCCCGCATCAATAAGCTTCTGGAATGTTTTTTCTTCAATCCTGTAGGAGTTTTAGAATTTCTGTAGATGTATTTGTAGCTGCTCATATACAATTAACGTGCTATGTGCATCAGCATTATCTCACACGTACGGATTCCAGAACTTGTTTTTCCTTCTCCTCCTTGCAATCATAGTAAGTAGCAATCAATACAGATATCTAGGCACCTGTTTCAACAATTACCAATAGATAACTGATGATAAATGGAATCGCACTTTGCGACTTTGTTATCAAAGTAATCATAAAAGATGCAAGGACGTGCTTCCTGCTTAAGCAAGTCACACATCGCATAATACTTTGGTGTGAAAGCCCACAGATTGATGAATTGTAGCTAGAATACTTCCCAACGCTGTATATTGTGGGTGTCATTAGCCGTGGACGGGTTGAAACTGATTTAGGGCATTTGTTATTATTATTTTTTTTAGGATTTTTATTTTACATATTTATTTTGCCCTTGTCGGATTTCTGCACTTTACTGTTTTTGGTATAATAATAATATTCAGTTTTTTTCCTATATTTCTATTCCATTCTTTCACAAAGGTTGTTGGTAGGTAATTTAATAAATTTGGCGTGAATATTACCGAAAATATATTACACCAAAAATTGCGAAAAGTTTAAAGCTATTTTAATGGTGGATAAAACAGAATTTTTACTATCTGTATTTACTTTTATTCTTATTTGTGATTGGATGAATGGTTTTATTTTCAAATCGAGTATACAGTGCAGAGGTAACAATGTATCATCCAACAATGTAATTTTTAACCAAATTCTGATTTCGATTGAGCGCCATTTTAAACCAAAATTTTAAATGTAGTCAATTTGTTTTCATTAGAAGTAAAATAATACCTATATTTTGTAGGGTTTTCTGGTATTATTAAAAAATGCCGGCAATTCAAAGTAGTTTTTTGGTTGATAAATCAACTACATATTAGATTAATTAATTAGATTGTAATTTTCTTTCACTTTTGTTTAAACTTTAGATCGCGTCAGTAAAATTTCAAGCTCTTTTAAAAATAAATCAATGTTGGTAATTAATCTTGATTTTACAATTTGGTGGGGTTTTAACTCATAGAGAAAAGATCTTCAATATGATGAGATGGTTCTCCAATACTTTAATGTCAAAAGGTAGTATTTTTCACCCGAGTAAGTTCAGAAAAACTGAATGCCTTTGAAAATTAGCTGGGAAGGAAACTTGTTTATGTCCGCACTGTATGTACATATTCATTTTTTATTTGGTCACGAATTATAGAAAGGACTTTTTTACTTTCTTTTTTTGAATTCCTGCTCAAATAAAAACATAGTTCAAATACCAAATAAATTATCCAATTTAAATTGGAAAGATGAATACATTACCTAACTAGTATTTCAGGCGTATTTATATCGGTATCTATTTTTTTGATTCTATAAATGTATTTGAAAAAATATGAGTAAAAACTATAAAAGAACCTAGACATAAAAATTCTGCTTTTGATATGTTGAAGCCCCCATTTAATATTTGCAGATCAATGCCTAGAAAGTGCAGTACAATATTGGGCATGTTTCAAAAAATTTAAATTATTTTCTAAGCCAGGTAAACTAATTATTGATAACCTATGAGAATTTGATTTTCATATGTGTATCTGATATTTTGAATAACCTATTATATTTTAATGTTAAATATTTTTAAAGGACACGAAAATATACCATCTCATAACATTTGAATGTGCGGGTAATTATTTTATCTAACAAAAATAGATAAATATTAGGAAACATGCTCTTAAATTTGATGTACTTGCTAGCTTTAATCACTAATAATGAAGACATTTAAGTAATAGCTAGAACATAGACTGAAAAAATTATTTGCCATAATCCTTTTATTGCACTACATTTTTTTTTATTTTGTATTATGTGTTCTATCAATAATTAATCATTTATGTTTTACCCAATAATCCAAACACTTATGAGTATTTATAGTTATATTTTTTACTGTTTATACAATAATTTTCTATTATTCCGAATATTTAAGAACTGTCATTATTATTTATTTTGCTACTCCATTGCACTTTAATTTTTTCTCGGAATTTCTTGAGAAATGATATTTATATTAGGGTTGTTGGAAAATGATTTCAAGTCAAATTTAGTGGAATTTTCAAATTTGATTCTCGTCAATTCTATTGGAAAATATTAGCTTTGGCCTAAAGAAATCTTACAGTAAATATACATAAATCTCCAATTGTTTAGTTCAAGCATATTGGCAAAATTTCTCTTTGCATATGGGCATAGAATTATAAAAATTCCAGGTAACAAAATAAAAACATACTAATGTACTGTACTGATTTGAGATTGACATATTGAAGTCACAACTTCCAATCAGGTAAACAAATATTGTTGAACAGTTTTCAGTAGTAATTGGTGACCCAAAATTTAATGTTGTTCATCCTAGAGCAGAATTTTAACATTTATTTCATTTGAATACTATCAGGAATTATTTAGGATAAAAATAGTATTATTTCTAATTAACTCTTGAAATTAAATGCACAAATGATATTTTCAAGAAATAGATGATTTTTTCTTAGTATAGGTATCTGTGTCAAGGCGTATACAAGAATTGTCCAATATGTATTCGTTTACCCCTTGAAATTTAACTTGAATATGCTATAGTTTATTTTTCCATAAGTTTGTTCTTGGAATTGTTTCATTAAGTTACTTTAGGTATATCAATACTATGGTGTTTTTTATATAAACATATAAACCAGGCGATTTGAATTGCTTGGCAATGCACCCAAGTATTGTTGGTCGCATAGGCTGTGACAAACTATTAATTGAGTACATTGTTTTAGATTATAGGAATATAGCTCTCTGTGTTATATGTTTAATATATTTATTTTTTTTCGTATTCAATCAACTATAATTACTTTTCATTTGAATTTTTCAAAAATATAAGTGATACTTGTTAAATATCTTATGTACCTACTTTGTGTATTATGTATTATGTTTTAGTTCTAGTGCGTTTTTTCTGTTCAACAGAAAAATGCACTTCACTCAATTAATAATTGAAAATATTTGTTTTGAAATTTTGTAAATAAATTTGGTTCACGACTGTAATATAATTTCATTGAATCCTTATAATTTGCAAATAACGCACTAGCATATAGGGCCATATTGAATCGGTAGTCAGACAAAATTGATTTTTTCTACTGTTTACAGGAAAAGAAAGGTAAGTGCTTTACTTTTTTTTTCACCAAGTAAGTATCAAAAAATGTATTTTCACTAAGTAGAAATTTACAATAATATAGGTAATACACAATAAATGGTTCTGGGGCACAATGAACCAAGAGGGTGGTAGTCTGTGTGCGCACCGTTGACCATGGCCACACTGGTCAGAGAATTTACATAAGTTCAAAAAAGGGTCGGACCCAAGACTGTACCGTGAGGGACACCACATTCCACTCTTCTGGCACTACTTGCATTCTTGCCTATTCTAACAACTTGAGTTCTATTTTGCAGATACGTTCTAAAAAGGTTCAGAGCGCCACCTCTGATGCCATAATTATTAAGTTTTTTAAGTAGAATGCGATGCTGCACACTGTCGAACGCCTTTGACGGGTCCAGAAAGACTACAAGGGCCTTGAGTCTTGAGTGTTACACCCTTGCGAAAGCCAAACTGTGCGTGCGATAACAGGTTTTCAGTTTCCAAAAAATGGCACAGCCTCAGCTCGATGCACTTTTCAATGACTTTGCTTATCGTGCTTGTAAGGGCTATGGGTCTATAGTTGTTTATCTCAGTTTTGACTCCTGATTTCAGATGTTAAAGTGGTGTCAGCAAACACTTATGATTTCCATTGATTTCTCTTGACTATGTTACTGCAATACCATCCTCACCCCCGGCAGCTCCATTTTTTAGGGAATTTATTTCCATTATCCATTTATTATCTGTTATGGGATTGAGGATGATAGAGTTGTTGGTTTGTTTTTCATCTGTTGAAATATTACTAGGGGTAACAATCTTTTTTGACAATTTCTCTCCTACCAAGCTGAAAAATTTATTGAAATTTTCAGCCATTAGTCTATCATCCGTAATCACCTGACCCATGTCTGATTTAAGTGCAATTGCCTCAACAGTATTTTTACATTTATTGTGGTTTGTACTTCTCTTATAACTTATCACAACTTTCTCGGATTCCCCACCCAAGCAGCGCTTTTACGTCCTAACAACGTCGTTATTGATGTCTTGACGTTGAGGCGCGACGTTAAATAGACGACAATACAACCCTTATTTTCACCAAAATGGAGAATCATTTCATGGTTGTAACGACGTCGCAGGTCACGTGGCTTTACTTATTTTTAACCCATACGTCATTTTTAACGCATAGACAACCAGATTTGAACGTTTACTAAACGTCGTCAACCATGACTAACCTAAAAACCAATATCAAACCAAATAAAGGACGTTCCAGGTTTAATATATTGCACCGAATTCGCACTTTTGGTTTATTATTGGTGTTATTTTATTTTCCAACTCTTCACAATAATAACAAAATGAATTGGTAAAGTCCATTCCAAAATATTTCGTTGACTTCACGGCTATAAAACCCTACCATAAATTAGATAGCTATTAGTCTCTATTGTGTAGGTACCAGGTTCTTTTATGTAGGTACCGGGTTCCTTAATACCCACTCAAAGGTTTACAGGTACGGATTTTGTGCCCATTATAATGAAAACGAAAAAGGCGTTTCATAATATTATTTATTTATGTTATAATCTTATACTATCTTAATAATTACCAAAACTTAATATCTAATACAATATAATACAATACACAATTCAACCAAACCTAATCTATATTTAGTTCCGTTTCACTGTCACTGTCATCTTCATCTATGCCTAAACTAATTATTAATGGCTTAACATTAATACCTATTGAATTATAGGTTTCTTCAACTTTTATAACGTGATTGACAGAATTTTTCCAGCTTTGAACTGGAATATTATCTACACATTTTCTAATTAAATCTATTACAGCAGTACTAAGTGTAGGAGAGGTGTTTCCTCTCCTAACCATTGCCTTCAATTCATGCCAGATATGTTCTATTGGATTGAAAATACAATAATATGGAGGAAGACGCAAAACTGTATGACCACAAGCGCTAGCAAGATCGTCACAAATATATTCTTTTTTAACATTATATGATTTCAAAACGTTTAAAAGATCTTTCTTTGTATAATTTTCTTCGAAATACATATCATTTTCCATCATATATTTTTGAAGTTCTACTTTTGTATTACTTGCATTGGGCACTTTATTTTTTTGACGGCTGTGGTAACTAGCGTTGTCCATCACAATTATACTGTTTTCTGGTATGTTCGGAAGAAGGCGATTCTGAAACCATTCTTCAAATAATTTTGCATCGGTATCTTGATGATAATCTAATGATGAATTGGCTATTTTTTTTGCGGATAGCAGCAAAGAGTTTGGAACAAAACCATTTTCTGATCCGGCATGCAAAATTGTAATCCTCTGGCCTTTATTTGAGGGTGCTTTGGTTTGACATTTGGAGGTTGAGTCGCTCCATCCTCTTTTGGGAGTGTCATGGGTATCAAACCATGTTTCGTCAAGATATATTATCGGACGATTTTCTGCCCTATATTGTTTTATGGAACTTAAATATTCTCGACGCCATGCTTGTAATCGCTGGGATTCCATTAGCACTTGCCTCTTATTAATGGTTTGATATTTGAAACCCATTGCTTTCACAATTCTCCAAAGGCTTGTTCTGCTACATAATATATCAGTTTCGTCTTCTATAAGTACCTTTTTTAGAGAATCTATTGTAGGTATTATTTGTTTACTGTACAAATCATAAATTTTCCTACGAATCAACTCTTTATCCGCTTCTTCAACCTTTCTTGACTTGCCGCTGTCACACCGTTGCTTCCTTGGCTGGATGCGTTTGGCTACGATATCTTTAACCGTAGATAATGGAGTTTTGGTTAAAACGGATGATTCACTCACACTTTGATTATGATTATAGCCTCTCTGCAGAAGGGTTAAATAAACGTTCCTCACAATTTCCTTGGCATCTAGCGATAAATGTTTTTTTTTGAAATACCACTTCCGGTTGCAATACTACCATCATTTGCCCATGGACGCCACATTTTTTTTGTCAATATAACAGCTCTAGTACTGCACAAAGACTAAATAATTTAACTAAAACATTCACCCACATTTACATGTACATCTCACCTAGGCAGGTATAATAAATAAAATCAACCCGGACCTGCTCACAGGTAGTCGAAGTTTGTGGTTGAGGGTATCATCAACATTTTATTGATACTTGAAGAGTCAACGAATTATTTTGGAATGGACTTTACCTATAAGAATATTGGGGGACATAAAATGATAATGGCGCCTGGCCTTGTCAACAATAAAATATGTGAAACTAAATATTTAGCTCCTGTAGGTACAAAAATTTCAAACGAAGGCAACTTTTCTGTCAAATATAATTATGATATGCACACAAAACAAACGGGCTCCTATTTTGTTAATATTTCCCAAAAAAAAAAAAAAAATCTGTAATTTACATAATTTTTTATATAGTTTTGATGGGTCAAAAACATCTTTGGGCAAGTGCGATTCACCCAAAAAATAATAATTGTGACAAAATTTCCTTATTAAGGATTGATTTTTCAGATATTATTTTATTTTTATTGAACGTGCAGCAATGGCGGATGATTAGATAGGACCTTGCGATATATAAAATGGTCGAGTTAATAATCTGAACCTTATCCTAATGAAAATGGACCTAATCTATATAAACATAGGACCATAGGTCATAAAATAGTACAAACATATAAACCTAGATTGACTATAGGTCCCAGGTCCCATATGGCAACCTATCGTAACCAGTTCTTTAGGTGCTTCAATGGCATGTAATATTGACAGTTGAGTTGAAGAGGGCGCTTCTGTAGTTGGAGCTCTTTAAATTTTGGCGCTAGAATAATCGAATGTAATTTTAACCTCAAAAGTCAAGTTTGATGTGTGGTTTCAAGACAAGCTTACGCTAACACTTTTGGAAATATTCTTTAAGGGCCACTGAACGTTTTGGGGGATATTTTTACTTATTCACTGTTCATTGTTCATATGTAGTCATATTTCCTTCTACTCATTAAAACGGGAATCTTTTTTAATTTCCTATTTGGAAATTACAGGATTCTCTTCCAATTTCCCTTCTTGCTCCATTTCCTTCATGTTTGGAATACACTTCTTCCTTTTTCACTAAATCTAAAAAAAAATTCTTCTTCTGTAAAATGTGGATGAGTTTTTGAAGCTCCTGTTTTGTCCCATACCATATCAAAAATATAAAAGAAAATACTTATTCAAATTGTTAAGAACTTTTTATAGTAACGCCATATCTATTGTTTGTTTATGCTTTTATTTGACTGATGACAGTTTATCAACGAACGACACAAAAAGTATGAAATGCTACACCAAATTTTACCTGTGTCCTATTTTAACGTTGGCCGGACGTTTTTCTAAGACCTCTATCTGACCTTATGATTGGTCGTGTCAGACAACGTTTTTAAAACGTTTCAGAGGTCACAGGATATGAAGATAACGACGGATTGACCTCTTCAATGCAACGTTGAATTTGGTACAATATTATGACGTCCATTTCACGATTTTTATCTTACATTGTGATTGGTCGTATTAGACGACGTTTAAAAAACGTTTCAGAGGTCACATGTATACAAGAGGACGACGGATTGACGTTATCAATTTAACGTTAAAACTGGTTTTCATTTATTACGTCAAAATTGAGCTAGATAAAGGTCTGATTTCTTGACCACATATTAGGGACGACGGCACGACGTAATTTTAACGAAAAATCATTGACGGACACCTATCTGCACTTCGAGCGACGTTGTATTTGGTTAATACGTAGTTGCAGGGACATGTATGTGCTACTTGGGCATGTTCTCAGCAATAGATCTTTTAATGCAGTTTCTGTAATTGTCTAGTAAGTCAGGTTTATGTGGGTATCACTGGATGCAATTTTTTTGAGCTTATTGCGTTTTCTTATCGATGTCACAAGACCTTGGGTGGT